AAAATGTATACAAATCTTAAGAAAGAAAACAACTGCAGACTTGGCGCCTGTAGCACAGTGGTTATGGAGCCAGTCACATGCACTGAGGCTGGTGGGTTTGAGCCTGGCCCGGGCCAGCTAAACGACAACTACAACAAAAAAATAGCCAGGCATTGTAGTGGGCGCCTGTAGTCCCAGCTGCTTAGGAGGCTGAGGCAAGAGAATCACTCAAGCCCAAGAGTTTGAGGTTGCTGTGAGCTGTGATGCCACAGCACTCTACTGAGGACATGATAGGAGAATGTTGCACACAAACTGGCAAATAACTAAAAGGCCCGTTTTATGAATCCACTAAGGCTGCCATCCCCAATCCTGGACCTGGTCTGTGGAGGGTGGAGGGCTAAGCTTATATATACCCATCACTGCCTGAGCTATGTCTCCTGGCCCCCTACGCCCCACCTGTGGAAAAACTATCTTCCATGAAACCAGTCCCTGGTGCCAGAAAGGTTGGGGACCATTGCCCTAAGGAATCCAGATATTATCCTATATTATATCCAGAGGTGGTGAGGTACTGAAGGTGTTGGTTTTTTTTCAGTTTTTGGCCAGGGCTGGGCTCAAACCTGCCACCTTCGGCATATGGGGCGGGCGCCCTACTCCTTGCGCCACAGGCACTGCCCCAGGTACTGAAGCATTTAGAATGAGGACCGACTTACATCATGTTCTTACAATTCATCTGAACTGTATAGACCAAGTGAAAACAATTTGAGGGTAGGAATAATTCAAAGACTATTATGATACTTTAGGGAAATATAATCCTATATTACCTTAAAACTTCTTATGCAGTAAGGTGTTGGCAGTGGGGATGGGAAGAAATTGGTGTCTGCTTAGATATGGAAAAAGAAAGGAAGCCAGGAGCACTATAAAGTTACAAGCTGGAGGGAAGGGAAAATGATACTCTGGAGAAAATGAAATAGGACAAATCAGACAGCACAGTTTAGTGAGCAAAGAAGTTCAATGAAGTTTAAGATACGTGGGGCATAAGGTGATGCAAACACATTAGGGTGCAGATTTATAATAAATAGTTGTGACAAAAGCTTAAGGGAGAGGTCAGTACTAGAAGTGTGGGTCTGGGAATTATCTTCCCAAGGGGAAATGTAGAAGATAAAGTAGAGGATAAGATGGAGAAAGAGGAGCTCGTGAGATATAAGAAGCATTCCAAGAGATTAGAGTGTTTGACTTGCAGAGGATTTCACAAGTCAAGGAGAAGTCAAGGTTTAAGGATAAGGAATTACAAAACAATGGTGAATACTAATTCCATACAGAACAAAAGCCAGCAATATGGTTGTTCAAGATCTGTAAGAAGAAAGTCAGGAGGAAAGAAGGGAGAAATAACTGGGTGGTAATGGTGATAAGATGGTGATGAAAGCAGAGAGTGAGAGTACCCTTTTAAGAAACGTAGGGCAGCTCCTGTGGCTCAAAGGAGTAGGGTGCTGGCCCCATATACCAGAGGTGGTGGGTTCAAACCCAGCCCCAGTCAAAAACTGCAAAAAAAAAAAAAAAGAAAAGAAAGAAAGAAAGAAATGTAATGGTAGACTGGATGCTGTGACTCAGGCCTATAATCCTAACACTTTGGGAGACCAAGGAGGAAGGATAGCTTAAGTCCAGGCGTAAAAGACCAGCCTAGGCTTGGCGCCTGTGGCTCAAGCGGCTAAGGCGCCTAAGGTGGTGGGTTCAAATCCAGCCCGGACCCACCAAACAACAATAATAGCTGCAACCAAAAAAAAATAGCCGGGCGTTGTGGCGGGCACCTGTGGTCCCAGCTACTTGGGAGGCTGAGGCAGGAGACTTGCTTGAGCCCAGGAGTTGGAGGTTGCTGTGAGCAGTGAAGCCATGGCACTCTTTCAAGGTCAACAAAGTTAGACTCTGTCTCAAAAAAAAAGACCAGCCTAGGCAATATAGCAGGTCTCTACAAAAAATAAAATAAAAAACAAGTTTGAGATGATAGTGAGCTATAATCAGACCACTGTGTTCCAGCCTGTGCAGACAAGCAAGACTCTGTGTCTTTAAAAAAAAAAAAAAAAAAAAACAGAAAGAAACAAACAAACAAAGGAAGAAAAAGAAAATAAATGAAGAAATGTAATGGTGAGAGCCACCAAAGTAAGTAAGTTGAAAGGGAGCTGGGCCGAGAGAGTTTGTTTGCCCTTTCAGGACTTGCTCATAACTCTTGGCAGAAGAATAGGCTAATATAGAACTGACTGAAAACACAGGAGGAACAATGTTTTGAGGAGGTAGGAAAGGTTGGGATAAAGAACAAAGATCATGGATTGAAGAAAGGCAACCGGAGAGGTATGAGAAGAGGTGTGAAGAATAACACATTTTTCAGTAGAAAGGTGAGGGAGTTCTTGAGACAGCCTTGTTTTCCAAACTTAAAGGAAGGCAGTGGACTGCGGAGTGTGTGAGGCATTTGATGCTTAAGAAAGCTGAGAAAGTAAAGGGTAGAGATGGCTGCAGTAGAATTTTAGGACATCGTAAGACTGTGTTCAAGGCCCAGATGTTTTAACTTGAGCTCGCCACCCCCTCAATCTCCTCACAAAATTGTCAGTCGAGTAAAGGAGATAATGCACATGTAAATTATAAAGCACTTTGTACACAAGAGAAATTTGGAATACCTACCACAGGAAATGTGATACATCATGAATAAGGGATGAAGCAAAGCATAGCCAAGCATCAGGTAGGGTAAAGGTGAAGTTCAAAGTAAGAATATATAGCAAGGCCAAGTCCACACAGTTTTTGCCACCTACTCCAGTAGAAGAGAATGCACATTCTGAATGAGGGTAGAGGCCCGAAGAACGAGTGGCTGAAAAAACCCTAGGTAAGGACTATTTTCAGACCTTTGTAGGCATGCTTTCATTTGGAAACTGCATGTGTAATTTTTATATAAAAGTGGCATTTGACCCATTGACATGCTATGTTTTGGAAATGGCTAAGCACTTCCATTTTTATATTTTATAGTTTTCATATTTTGAGTCATCTTTTTTTCCCCCTTACATATCTTTTAAAAGCTTAGGTTCCAGGCACGACACCTGAACAGTGAAAAGGATAACAGCTGCCGGTGCAGTCTAAGTCAAGTAGGGAAGGTCACGAACAAAACAGGCAGCGAGCAAGCCGGTACACTACACAGGATAAACGACCAGAGACAATGAGAACAGGTGGAGAGGTGGAGACGTTTTTTTTTGTTTTGTTTTGTTTTTGAGAGACAGAGTCTCACTTTGTCAGCAACCTCCTGCTCTTGGGTTTAGGCGATTCCCTTGCCTCGGCCTCCAGAGTAGCTGGGACTACAGGCGCCCGCCACAATGCCCGGCTGCAATTTGGCCAGAGCCGGGTTCGAACCCGCCACCCTCGGTATATGGGGCCAGTGCCCTACTCACTGAGCCACAGGCGCCACCCCGGTTTTGGATTTTGTTTTTATGTTCAATTTTGGAGATCCAGGTCCCAGATCTCCCAGGTGTAACAGGCCACCATATGGCCCAATCAAGGACACTTAGAAGAGATAAGGAAATTATCTTTTAACAGTCTTAAACTGAAGGGTGCCAGATGTGTTCACCTTTTCAGCCTGTGAGCCCACAAAGGGCTTGTCCCTCGCTGACATCCTCCACTGTCCCATTGTGACCAGCAGGAACAGAGAGCCAAACATACTCTGCTCGTTTCTATTATACACAACCGTAGAATTCCGGATGACAAATATCAATGTAAATCCTCTGCACTCTCCCGCACTGCTGAAACAGTCTTCTCCAGCCCGCGGAGCAAGCTCCCCTAGGGTGGCCCGGAGAACCCTCAATTCTAGACCCCAGTTCTCTGGTCTCCATAACTGGTCCTCAAAACCAGAGCCTCAGGTGCCTCCAACCCTGGAAAATACCAATGACTGGCCAGCCCCGGGAGTTCTCGCAACTCACACGTTAGGCCTGAGGGATGTGTAAACCAAAAGAATCTTGAGAGGCCGGGGAGGGTTGCTCACAGGGGTTATTGCCAGAGGCCTCTGGGACCCGGAAAACGCCTCCTACAACTCCCAGCAAGCTCCGGGCAGAGCGCCCCGGGCCAGCTGACAGCAGCACCCACCAATGAGGGAGCCCAGCCTGCGTCCGTGCGACCAATCCGAGGGCGGAAAAGGGGCCGACCCTGTGTCATATTAGTGAGGCCTCTCTGGTCGCCACAGAGATAAAGACGGGGCTAGTACCCGTAAAATAGTGACGCTGGTTACGCTCTTCTGCGCACTCCCAGCCTTGCCCTTTTCTGTTTACAGAGCTAAGAGCGCACCAGCAGCCCCACCTCCGGCCCTTAGTTGTGTCCCGCCCCCCGCGTGGAATTCCCAAAGCTTAATGGATGCTGATACTGTCAATCTAGAGGGCGGTGGGGCCCAAAGCCTCAAGGGCCGCCCCTCTCGGACGGTAATTGGACTTATCGGAGTAGACCCGGGCTGGGATTGGTGCGAGGAGAGTCTAGCTTTTTCTGGCGTCTGGGCCGAGCGCGGGGAGGCGGTGACCCCAGCAGACTCGGCGGGGGAACTGAGCTCTCCTGCCGGGCGCGCGTACTCCGCGGAAGAAAGGAGCGAGAGGGCTCTCTACCTCATCGCGCTGGGCCAGGGGTGGCGCTTGTCGCGTGGCGGGCGCGAGATCAGTGGGGCGGGAGGCGGGAGGCGGGAGGGGGGGTGGCAGTGGAGGGTGCGGGAGGCGCAGGAGCCAGGGAGTTGACGGCAGGACTAGCTCCTGGAGGGGGAGGCAAAGGAGGGCGTGTCAAGTTTGGTATGGGATGCAATGGAAATGAGGGGGCCCTTCTGAATAGAGCCCAGGGTGGTTCCTTTGTGGAATCCTCTTCTTCCCGTTTGCCCTTTAATTTGCCAACAAGAGAGTCCCCATGGTCTCTGTTCGAGTTCCGGAAATTTTCTCTTTGGGTGGGTTTTATCACCTGCTTCTTCGTTATAGAACTGCCCAGGGCCTAGTCTGATACTGAGCACAAACGTGGGGAATATGTCAGAAAACAAGAAGCCGCTGCTGGGCATCTTGAGCAAAGTCCCCAGTGGGTCTACACTTGGGAGCTCAGGCAAGACTCACTGTCCTTTATGCATGGGGCTTTTCAAAGCCCCCAGGCTCTTGCCTTGTTTGCACACGGTTTGCACCACTTGTCTGGAGCAGCTGGAACCCTTCTCAGTAGTGGAATTCCGAGGGGGAGACTCTGACACAAGCTCTGAGGGGTCAATATACCAGGAACTCAAGCCACGCAATCTGCAGCCACAGATCAGCATCCTCTGTCCGGTATGTGATGCTCATGTGGACCTGCCCGTGGGTGGAGTGAAGGCTCTTACCATAGACCACCTGGCCCTGAATGATGTGATGCTGGAGAGTCTGCGTGGGGAAGGCCAGGGCCTGGTGTGTGACCTGTGCAGCGACAGGGAAGTAGAGAAGAGGTGTCAGACCTGCAAAGCCAATCTCTGCCCCTTCTGCTGCCAGGCTCATAGGTAAAGATGGGATACCCCACCTAGTGTGGCATAAGAGCAGAGAACAAAGAGGTGTCAAAACAAATCCCTTGGTGAGCAGATGGAAAGGAAAGCCTTTTCAAATATCATCAAAAGTCAAAGAGCAATCAATATACAATGCTACTGCAAATTCTCTAGGACAGTTAGGTCAACCTAATATAATTCCTGTGGTAATTGCAGCAGTGAAGTTTGCTTAATCCTTTTCAGCTTACAAAGTACATCAACAGTTTGCTTCAGTCATCAGACGTGTGTGTAGTGAGTAATCCTACTTGCTGCTGGGGAAATAGGAGGATGAATATAATAACATAGAACCTGTTCTTGATCTCATTTGGTTATTGCATCTCTTAGAAAAGCAAGTACTGTTTTCACTCCCACTTATTAATTGAAGAGTTTGAAGCTTAGCAATAACTTAACAAGGTCCCACAAGTGATAAGTGTGTAACAGAACAGAGCATTAAATTTAGAGCATCTGACAACATTCTGTGCTTCCTAGTACAGATACTGATCGGCTGGGACTCACTTTGGTCCTTGCCCTGTACCCTAGAGTTACTCTGGATTTTGGTGAGGTCAGCTGGTAGGAGTTAATCGGGGTGCATACTATGTCTTTTTTGGCATTTGGTGAGTAGTTTGTCAATGAATCACTCTTTGTCTCTTATTCTCCCCCACTGCATTTTAGGGCATCAGAATAGTAATTGACCATGGTTTTAGGATTAGTGTCATACAGTTTTTAGGTTGTGACTTCCATTTGTTTTCTGGCCTCACCAATAGAACAAGTTAGTAGTCTGTAGCCTTTCTATTTTTAACTCATAATTATGTGATAGTCCTGTGACTGTCTTGCTGGCAGCTAAGCAGCTGACCCTATTTTCTCTGCAGCCACTATTCCAATGCCAGAATAGGCATATAAGCTTCAAGTTGATACAGTGCTAATGGGGGAACCCCAAGCAGTCACTGTAGTTTCCTAGGGATTTCCCTGAACACAGAAAAGGAGAATTAAAAGAGAGCTTTGGCTCGGCACCTGTGGCTCAAGTGGCTAAGGCACCAGCCACATTCACCTAAAGTGGCAGGTTCAAATCCAGCCTGGTCCACCAAAACAATAACGGCTACAACCAAAAAAAAAATGGGCGTTGTGGC